GCATTATTTTTACATAAACCATAAAAATCACAAAAACATCCGTACGAAACCTAACCATTCTCGAGCCCGAGAAAGTGAAAGAATCTAGGCCAAGAAGAGGTTCCTTGCTTGGTCGATCAATCGTTTGCTCAGAAGTTAGAAGCGCAACACATCCATCTATTCTCATTCCATTCAAGCCCAATTTCGGGGCTTGGTGGTGGCACGCCCCGCATCCAAAAGAAGAAGGACCAAAAGTTCCTTCCGTCGGCCGCCCCGGCCGAAAAGAGGGTAACAAGTCCACTGTGATAAGATGCCATGTTCCTTGCAGTAATCAAAAAACTTTCTGCTTAAGTATTCACCGCCTCGATCGGATCTAAGGATTTTAGTACTCTTTCCAGTTTGGTTTTCAACTTCATTTCTGAATTCTTGATACTTTTCAAAAGATTCAGACTTATGCTTCATTAAATATAAATACTCGAACCGTGAATGATCATCGGTAAAGATAATGAAGTATGAATAACCTCCCCTTGCGTTTGTAGACAAAGGTCCACAAACATCTGTGTGGATCAACCCCAACAATTCTGTAACTCTTTCTCCTTTACCAATAAAAGGAGACTTGGTCATTTTGCCTTGTAAACAAGATTCACAAGTAGGCATAGGAGCAGGGTCTAAAGATCCAAGGCATCCATCTTTTGCCATCCGGTGAATCCTATCTTGGCTAATATGTCCAAGTTTGAGGTGCCACAATTTAGTTGAGTTATCCACTTCTCTAGGCCTTTTAGGTCTAGATGCATATTTTTCCATACAGTTAATACTTCCATTCATTTCCAAATGAAAAAGACCATCAATCAAATTTGCATAAGCAATAATTCGATTATTATGTGAAATAGAACAAAGTAGTTTGTCAAACAAAACAACAAATCCATCTCTTAAAAGCATAGAGACTGATATTAAGTTCTTTACACAACCAGAAATGAAATAACAATTATTTAATTTCAGGGTCTCTTCGGAAGGTAGATTGAGATGATATGTGCCTACAGCTTTGGCAGCTACCTTAGTGCCATTACCCACTATTAGCACCATTTCTCCTTTTCCGAGTCTTCTACTTCCCACTAGTCCTTGCACACAATTGCAAATATGTTGACTAGCTCCTGATTCAACTATCCAGGTAGAAGTATTAACTGTGAAAATTGATTCAAGAACAAGAGTGTTACCTTATGAAGGCTTGTTCTTTAAGCTTGCGAGGTAATCCTTGCAATTCCTCTTCCAATGTCCATCCTTTCCACGGTGAAAGCAAGTTCCTTTCGGTTCCTTGCATTTCTTTGTTATTTTTCCTTCTTTGGGTTTTAGAAAACCTTTCTTCTTCTTTCCCTTATCCTTCCCTTTCGGTTTGGATTTGGAAGAGGAGGAAGAACCCTTTTCAAATATCGCAACTGTCCCTGTCATTCCTTTATCCTTCAAGATATTCTTTTCAGCTACCATAGCCATATTGAGTAGCTCAGATAAGGAACTTTCCATCTTTCCCATATTATAGTTCATAACAAATTGGGAAAAATCTAATGAGAGGGACGAAAGAAAAAAGTCTTGTTGAACTTCAGCATTAAATGGAGCATCCAATTTTTCCAATTTCTCAAGTAATGATATTATCTTGAGACCATGCTGATTAACCAGAGTCCCTCTTGTTATCTTTGTGTTGACAAGTTCACATATTGTATTGTAACGCAAGCTACGAGTAGCTTCACCATAAGCTCTTTAAGGTGAAGCAATATGGAAGCACAATCATCCATATCTTCATGTTGTTTCAGTAGCTCATCGTTCATGGATGCTAGTAAGTAACATTTACCTCTACTATCATCTTTGACATGCTTCTCATAAGCAGTTCTTTCTTCCTAAGTAGTTGTTTCGTCAAGAAGAATATGTGATGGGGCTTGTGTCAACACATAATCAATCTCATCCATTTTAAGGACAAGTTTCACTTTGCGAAGCCAACTTGGATAGTTCGTGCCATCAAGGATGTAATTGTTAAGTATCGATGAGATTGGGTTTTTGACGGCCATTTGAAAATTCCACAACAACGTAAACAAATTTTAGTTTAGATTAATCTTTTATCAAGGATTTAGGGTCTTTAAGTCATGATGTTAGCTCCCACTATTTTTGGCAAATTTCATATCCCTCCTAAAATCTGAGAGTTTCCGTTGAAACTCTTAGTGGGGATAAGAGTCTCACTTTCACATATTTTTCCTCAACCTAACAGTTTGTTGGATTGCCATGATACTAATGAGAGGATACTCTTATCCAATCACATCATTAATGTGAATACCCATCACTCTGGCCTCTAGAGAACCAGACCTCAACCTAACAGTTTGTTGGTTTCGTTCGTCTTAGTTAAGTTATTCCCACCATGCTTGTGGGTATAGGGTTTCAAGTATGTCCTCAACCTAACAGTTTGTTGGACACACTCGTTATCTATCCACACTACATCAAGTATGTGTAATAGGCTTCCCTTGGATGGTTACAAGTACTGGATGTTGCCTCACTGAGGTCCAACAAGGTGTAAATGTGCCACCCAATAAGAGACTACCACGGTGGAAGGCCACAAAATAGCATTCAAAGTGCCATTTCGCTTATCAACTTAATATTGCTTTGAGGGTAGTTAAATTTGTCTCATTTTAATCCAATTTTAATCCAGTTAAAATTGCCTATCTAATCTCATTAAATGGTTCCCAATGCAACATATTAGTAGCACATAATACTCCCACTAAATATTTTAGAAACCATTTGCTTGAGATAGTGAGAATACTTGGTACTACTAATTGGTTAATTTGTTGTCATTACCGAACATTGCAATTTATTGTCATTACCGAACATTGCAACTACAACAAAAACTAGATACGACAACGCAAAAAATTACAACGTCTAGTTTGAACGTTGTTAAAACTAGTAATCAACAACGTTCATATAGTGCATGTTGTCATATCGTATTGCTAAATATCCTTTCGCAACGTGTAAATATGATGTTGTTAAAAATTGATAGCACAACATTGATGTGTACGTTGTGAAATACTACTTTATATATGCAGCGTTCATGTGCTCGTTATGGTTCATGTTAAACATATACAACGTTCATCCGCACGTTGTAGTTCATGTTAAACATGTACAACGTTCATGTGCTCGTTGTGGTTCCTCGTAGACATATACAACATTTGTTTGAACGTTGTGAAATCCTTTTTATATTAAAATATTTCAACCCCAAATGCCAAATATTTGGCTCTAAACAAAATATCAAACTGAAAGCCAAATATTGAATATCAAAATTACAACGTGCAAATATGATGTGGTTAAATGGATAGCGCAACATTCATGTGCTCGTTGTGAAATGCCGTTTCACATATACAACGTTCCTATGAGTATTGTGTTTCCTGTAAAACATATACAACATTCTGGTGTGCGTTGTGAAATATTATTTTACAACATTCAGTGAACGTTGTTGAAAGAAATACTTTTAATATTAAAATATTTCAGCTCCAAATGCAAATATTTTGGTGCTGAACGAAATGTTAAACAGAAAAATGGGCGCCATGCCAAAATTCATGCTCTCTCTTTTTCTGTTGTTCTCTTTCATATCCAATCTCCATGGCCTTTCAAACCTCCCAAACTCTCTAACATTCTCTCTCATCTCTTGTAACCATCTTTGTTCCCAACCTTCTTTCTCCAACAACCCCCACCACCTGCAATCCAACCGTTCTCTTCTAAAAACCAGTGAACACAGCCCCCTCTACAACCAATCCAAATCTCCTAAACCAACCCCAACCCCAAATCCAACCCATACCCATAAAAACCAAATCGACATCTAAATCTCACTGTCTCTCTCGCACTCATATTTTTTTTTCTTCAAGATTGTAGCCTAAAAATTCAATATGAAAAATTGATGGTGCATCCTTCCCAAATATTCTCATGGTAATCTTCTCTCTCTATCACTCCTAAATGCCAATTTGTTTTCTTCTTTGAATATGTTTCTTGCCTTAATTTTTCTTATTTGTTTTGAAAAAAATCTATGAGGTTTGTTTATAAAATTCCTCTTATTGTTTACACCAACTTGAAGCTTATGGCCCATTAGAACAGAGTCGTGCATGTTTTTCAGTTAGTAATTGTGCTAAAAAAAAGGGTGAGGTTTCTTATAAATTTATTCTCTGACAGATACCATGCTCTCTAGCTTTGGTGAATATGATCTCTACTTGGTTTTTTATTATCTTACTCTACTATATAATAGACTACTTATATATTCTTGTGCAGATTGCTTTTTTGATCTTGTTTTCAATGTCAGACTAAATGATATTGCTAAAGCTATTTGTATACAAAGAATCAAATAGCACTGGAGGTAAGCTGTTCTTTTGAATTTCCAGACTTCGTTCAATTCTCTCTGTTGTTTGTAGACACTATATGTGTATATATGCATTTATGGCAGATAATAGATACTAAACAATAGAAAATTATAGTCCTTTGTACATTGAGCCAGTTGATCAATGTGTACAAGCTCAATTGTGTACGAATTTAGTTTTAATATTTGCTTTGTAATTGTACAAATTCATGGTAGAAAAAGTACATCATCTTATGACCAACACTTTAAGAATGGTTGCTTACTGTGTTTTGGGTTTAATTATGTTGCTTTCATGACCTCCCTACTCTTTTGGTCAATATTGAAATTGGCTTTTGTGTGTCAAAAGGTTACATATATGGTGGAGACAGAGAATGCTGAAAATGGTATCTCATCAGCTATTGCATTTGTAGAAGGGGTAATATAAGAGGCCTGCAGCATATGGCTTGAGGAATTTTTAGTGCAGCTCTCAAATCACCATCAAATACTCAAAGGATTTGATAGTATAGTAGGATCTTACCTTGGATTTGAGTGCTGAATTTGGAAAGACTTTGACCTTGAATCGTTGTGCTAATTTAGTTAAAATTGTTGACTTGTACAGATAGTTAATTGTAGGAGTGTTAATGCTTTTATTTTTTATATATACATATGTGAAAGTTATTTAACTTTATGAATTATATTGATGGAAGTTGTATGGATGATATTATGTGTTTGCAGAAATGATGATATTATGTGTTTTGCAGAAATGACACAAACCTTGAACATGTTTTGGATGAAAAGGAATTATAGATTTTTTTTTTATTATAAAAAAATTAGGATTTGAAAGCAACGCTCGTAAGATGTTGTTAAAATAATAAGATGGTGGTAGTTTTTACCACATCTTCAGAACGTTATCATATAAGTTTTTGAATGTTGTGAAATAAGTTTAAAGAACGTGCATTGATATGTACGACAACATCAAAGAGATGTTGTTAAAAGTGTAAGACTTTTAACAACATCAAGGTACACGACATTCGCAAACATGTTGTCAAAAGACATTCACAACGTTGATTAGCCGTTGTTGAATACAAGTTTTGGTGTAGTGCACCATGTTGGATCATGGTCTTGGAAGGTGATTCATTTTAATTACGCTTGCATAAAATAAATTAGGCATGAAAGCCATTTCATTTTTACATAGCCAATCAAAATCGAATACATATCCAATAAGCAACCAATCACATAGCTCAATTGTTTGGTCTAAGTCCATAACCATCCTTTAATTATTTAAACGCTTAAAACAATTAAACTAGCAATGCAAAACGTGCTCTTGGGTTGCATACATACATATGGGTTTAATTCAAGTGGTAACCATATTCAAACAAAATAAATTTACCATGGAGTGAAAACATTTTACTACAATAGTAAATGTAATTGTGGAAACCTTTTAAGCATAGTTACACATATCATATATTGCAACTAGGTCCAAAACTATTCAACAATTAATAATGGATCCAATGATGATCCACTAGGGTGTGGGGTTAAAGCATGCATTTGTATAACACAAAGTGGTGATTATAATTATTCCAATTAGGTGGATAATCATGAATGTGACTAGGTAGGCCAACCACACTCACCAAAGTGATCAAAATTAATTTTAGTGTGGTTAGTAAATAATTAGTGATAAGAATAATTTGATCAACTTTTGCATTTTATATCAAATCACTAACATTTACATCTAAATAGACCCTACACACTCACTAAAGTAATCTTATTAATTTTAGTGTGGTGGGTAGATGTTTATCAAGTGGAAACATTTTTGAAAACTCTCAATTTTATAATAAAATATCATCATCATCTTTTGACCTATTTTGGTGGAAAAATCCACTAACACAACCACCACAAATAGTCACCTAACTTATGGATAAAAAAGATCCTATAACAAGAACATCAAGAACACCAAGAACACACATATGAACTAATATGAATGTTCATGCAATTTCCGGAAAAATCCATATTCCATTTTAACCATCTCATGCTCTTAATATCAAATATTTCATGAAGTTAAAATCGTGGGGTTTTAATGCAACCATGCTCTAGTGTTCATACATACATATATGCATACAAAGAGAGCATCAATCATCAAAACATAAAACCGGAAATTCAAAATCCCAAACAACCCTTTTCCACTCCATTTGATTTTTATCCAATCATATCAAAATAAATCAAGTATAACTACTATACTTTTAAATGAATTTGCAACTCATATATATGCATCTCTAAACCCTAGAAACATATCAAGTTCATGACCTATAGTTCTGATACCAATTGTTGGTTTTAAAACATTTTTAAGAAGTTCATTTGAATATTAAACTTGCATTTAATCAAATTAATCGCAGCGGAAGAATATGGTGGTTGTTTAAATTCAAAGACAAACTTCTTTCAGGTATCTTAAGCCATGAACATTGATATGATTTCATAAAGTAAAGTACAAGAGAAAAGGATAAGTATTAATTACCCTTGATGCTATAATATGAACCAAGTTGTGTTTTGGTCTTCTCTTGATGATTTCCCTTTGTTGATCTCCTCTTTGATCTTTCTCCAACTTGTGAGCCACAAAAGGATATGGCCTCTAAGTCTCGACACCAATGGAACCTTGAGATGAGAAGGAGTATCTTGAGAATACAAGAATGCTAGTGCAAGAATCTCAAGATTGGTTTCAATCTAAACCACTTTGAAAGATGAAAGTATTTCACTCATGAAAACTCTCTTTTTATCTCTCTTTAATCTCCCAAACCTATTCGGTTGATGTTGGATTGTGTTTGTGTGTAGTTTAGCTTATGGAAACAATTCCCATACACATCTACTTAAGCATTTTCGGACAAACCCCATTGGGCTTCCAAAATTGGGCCTTATGACACTTAAACCATAATATTTAGGTGTATAAAGCCCTTGGGCTTGATACCCAACCATTTGGGCTTCTCATTAATGATCACAATCAATCTTAGGACTTCCACAAGCCAAGAGTGACATCTAGCAACATATCATGGCTACCCAAGCTAATTAGAATAGACAAAGAACCTATTCAGTTGGAATTGCAATGCAATACGGTCCTTCTCTTATACAATGTTTCCAATCATATTTTTAGGGTACGGATTGATAATGTCAAACCCCTAATATGATTAACCTCATGTGATTCAATAGAACATGATTAAAAACACTTTCTAAATCATGTTCAAATACTTCGGCCAAAAATTTGCTGAATCACATCTTGAAACATTCTCTTTCTATATCAAAAGTAGAGATTCCTTATTGTACATTCACATGCCCCTATGATGAATTAAGAGATCCCAACAACACTTTAGACAAATCTTTTACGGCTTGCCTTTAAGAGCTATCAAAGATCAATAACGCATCACAGGACAACCATGATGCCTCAAGTCTAAGGACTAATTTGCATTATTGCAACTATGAGTTCTCGTTTGACATATAGATAAATACTTCATACGAGAACTACAATTGATTGCGTTCAGTGTACTCATTCACTAATGAACACCCACATACTTGTATTAGTGTCAACTACACAAATGGTTTGAGACTAACCATTCTCCCAATTGAGCATACATAATATATGCTAATCTTGACGGTTTATCAATGCCCATTTGATAACCTATGATTAGGAACATTTTGGGGTACTACAGTTAGATATTAGAGGTCTCATGAATCTAATCTTCTTTAGATTACTTTATCTCTTATTTAGCACACCCTGGACATTTGTTTCTTTACACGATGTAAAAGATAACAAAATAAGTTTGCCCTTTATATACGAAATGTATTCTAAGGAGATTACATCAAATGTATTGGCTCTTAGGGTACATTTCAAACACGATATTCCTTTAAATGCTAATGCCACCAAGTTCTTGGTCTGGTCCTTTCTCACCTTGTGTATGTCAATGGATTTGTATGAAGTTGATGTTTATCTTCACCTTAACCAATTGCTTCAGCTTCATGTGTCTCCATACTTCAAAGGAAAGCATAAATATGCAATTAAACGTCCATAATTTAATACATTTCTCATCTAATTCCTTTTAGCATAAGTTTTGCACCTTGAAAATACTTGAAAGAAAGAATTATGTCTCAAGTATTTTCAAGTAACTGTCCCATTATCCAATTTTGCTAGTTAAAATTTTGTAGTTTTTTAACTCCTAAACCACCATGCCCTATTTCATTTTTGTTTTCAACAAGAATTCCAAGCTAAAATGTATCTGGTCCACAGGGAAAGCTACCTAGAAATAATTCCTAAGTACTTACCTATACATTTGTGAGAAATTTCCAACAAAGCAGATAATATTTCTTGGAACTGACGTTCTGAACCCTCAGAGCTAATTCTATCAGAGAAAACATATAGGGTGAAATTGATTAGACATGTCCTGAAATTAATGAGTGTCTTGTTTTGTTTTCAAATACAATGCATGCGATGTCTGAAGAAATAACCAAAACTCGGAAGCAGAGTAGTTCAACAATTTGTGACTTAACCAAGCAAGCAGATCATAGAGTGTACAACCCACAAAAAGAGACATGAAGTGCCAAAGTTATCTCCAGGTTCCTATTCTTATTATATAAAACGAAGATTATTAGGTTTTAAAGAGTTACATTTCATTATGACAGAGAAAATCTTTCCTAAACATAAACAAATAGAAGCTTTGCTCAGCTTCATTTTTTATCTCCTTCCTCAATGACCTTTACCTTAGCCCCACAACAGCTCTTCCTAGTATGCCTCTCAACTTCAACTTCAATTTCTTTTTCATTCCACATCTCATCTTTTTTCCCAAGATCCAGCCTTCGCTCCAGGAACTCTGAATTCTCCTTCCAAACCTCTCCATTACTGTAAACCTCCTTCTTCCATATTGGAACTGATGCCTTTATCTCATCAATCACAAATTTACAAGCATCCAATGCATCAGCCCAATGAACGGCTGAGACTGCAATGAAAACACTTGTTTCACCAACTAGAACTGGGCCGAGGCAGTGGGCCACTGCAATGGAGAGGAGATTCCAGGATGATCTAGCAGATGAACAAATGGACTTCATGCACCATAGTGCCATGGGCACATACGCTTCATATCTAAGCTCCAAGACTGTTTTGCCTTTAAAGGTGTCGCGCGTGGTACTAGAAAATGTTGCAAAAGCACCTACCTGTGGAGCACTCACATAATTGATATATTTGGCAATGTCAATTTGGTTATGCTCCTCTAAGATTTCCACAAGATCTTTGTCCTCAGAAGCCATCTTCAATTGGGAATACATCAGATGTCTGTGTTATGAAGGACTATGCAACTTTTATCTCAGAATTATCCTCTGTCGAGAATAAGGTCCTGTTGTCCAACTTCAGAGAAATGATGACATATCAGCCATATTGTTAATGACAGACTTGACAAATCTATCAAAGAAAAATTAGAATGTCAGTACCATATGACCCAATGAACCAAAGAGAAAAGTCTCAATTACAAATCACAATAAAGGCCAGTTGGCTCTTATGTATTATTTCAAGGGGAGAGCTTTTAGCATAAAGTGGAATCAACCATGAAACAAGAAGCCTTTTTGAAAACATGAGATAACTCTATCAACATACATGCATGAGATAACTCTAAAACAAGAAAGAAATATAAACTCTTTCCATATAAATTCGAGACCTATAACTAGCACATAGTTAAGAATACCATCCAAGTTGTAATTTAGCATAATACAGAAAAACAGAGCCAACAACCTTTTTGCAGACCAGCTTATGTTTTCCATAAAGTTTCACCTCATAATCTGCTAAATGGTAGACTAATCTACAGTTTACCTGTGTTTTCAAAGGCATGCCAGAGCGAGGCGGCAAGAAATCGCCCGAGGCTGTTGGCTGTTTTGCGAGTTGCACGTTTAGTGCGAGGAAGGCGTGAGGAGGCGGAGCTAGGAGCGCCAAATCTGGACGCTTCTGAACCGGAAGAAATTTTGCGAGTCTGCAAATTGGATGCGACTCTGCGAGGAAGACGACTCGCGTGTTTTTTTTATAGAAGTTTATTGTAATGAAACAGCGTCGTTTCGATTGCAGTATTTTAGAAAAATTTAAATGAAACGACGTCATTTCACTCGGAGTGTTTTGCAAAAAACAAAAAATAAACCCAAGTTTATGCCTTTTTTTATTGTAACTAGCCCCTTGGCACATGTTCACGGATGTACCAATTGGTTTTCTTTTTTCTTTTTTCTTTTATTTTTGGAATTAAGAAAAGATAATATGGGTAGTTATGTTTCATAAAAATATGACTTATTATTTGATTTTGTTTTTATTTTTATTTTTAAAAAAATATGAAAAAAAATGTGAATTTACCATATTATCCTCATTTAATTGATAATTTCAATTCTTAATTTTGAATTGACCAAAGGCATTTTCTGGTATTTTGAATGTTTCAATATTCTCTGCCTTTTGCTTTATATATATAGATAAACTCCAACTGGCTGGCTGTAGCTTTATTCTACTTACCTTTTTTTTTCTTTTCTTTTCTAAATTAATATATTAACACATGGAGGAATCTCCATCAATTTCAAGAATTCTCTTCATCTTTTAATTGCAAGTAAGCCATTTTATTTTTCTCTGTAATTCTTCGCAACTGTAATTTGAAGTTCCATATAAATTTTTTTTTCTTCAATATATTAGTTATCTTATTCGTTTTATGTGATATAGTAGAAATTTGACGTACACGCATCATACTTGCATCTTAGAAATATTAATGGTGTTGTTTTATAGCTATGAATCGAAAAGATCCTGCATGGAAGTACGCAAAAGAAATAGGGGGGAAAATACTTGAGATGCACATTTTGTGATCAAAGATGCAGTGGATGAATTTTTAGACTTGAGCATCATTTGGGTCAAACTCATCATGGTTTGCAACCATGTAAGAAAGTTCCTGAGCATGTGAAAAAATAGTGTGCCGCAACTTTGAAAAAATTTCAGTTTGAAAAAAGAAAGATAATGAAATGCTTAGAGAGATTGGGGATGATCCATGAGGAGGGGCTCAGAGTATGGAAACTTCATTGGATGAAGACTATGGAATCCCATGGAAACTTCATTGGATGAAGAATATGGAATCCCCGGAACTAGGAGTGTTGCAGTTGATGAGGCTCTTAAAGCACAACCTATATCAAAATGACCAATGGATAGATTTGTCACTTTAGAAGCTCGACAAAGTACATTAAATTCAGCATACAAACAAAAGAAAGAAAGGAAGTTTGTCAAAAGATTGGTCATTTTTTCTTCTCTAGAGCACTCCCATTTAATATTGTAAATGATCCATTTTGGCTAACTATGGTGGAAGGGATTGCCTCATATGGTGTAGGATTTAAGCCTCCATTAATGCATGAACTGAGGACTTGGATCCTTAAGGAAGAAGTTGGATGCATCACGTAGGGAAATATTGTTAGACAGTGACACTAAAGCTACACTCGCCTACATGAAAGCGAAAGTGTCAGTGGATCTTGAATTTTTTTGTAAGTTCAGTGTAGATGAGGAGAATAGGCTTGCTAACTTGTTTTGGAGAGACTCTACTTCACTTTTTGATTATGTTGCCTCTGGAGACGTTCTCATATTCGACAGCACATACAAAACCAATATGAATGACAAGCCTATAGTATTATTTGTTGGTTCAAACAACCACCAGGCGAGTGTTGGCTATGCCCTATTGCTTGATGAGACCTTTGGAACATAAAAGTAGTTATTGGAGACATTCATATCCTCCATGAAAGGCAAGAAGCCAACATCAATACTAACGGAATGCACATAATAACTTAAATAATGAAGAAATGGTAAGATCATTTCAAGCATATCTTTGGGAACCAATTACAGTCAATTAGTTTGAAAAGAAATGGGAGTTTTTGGAGGACAAAGTTACCACACATAAACCAAAGGAATGGCTGCAAATGATGTATGCAAAATGAGATGTGTAGGCAAAATCACGCCTTAGACCCAAGTTTTTCGGTGGTATGTGCACTACTTAATGTGTGGAGTGTATGAACAAGTTTTTGAAAGGTTACTTGAGGAAAGACGTTAAGTTGTTTGAATGCATTCCAGCAATTGATAAGGCCATAGCACAAATGAGGAATACCTCGGGGAAGGATGATTTCGACAAAACAGTCAAAGAAAGTGTTTACATCAACACTGAAAAGTCTTGAGCAACATGCTTCCCAAATTTACAATCATAGGTGCTTTTTATTGGTATGTAATGAGATCTATTTATACCAAAATGAACAGCCAATGAACATCGGACACGTGGACCAAACTAGAGCTATGGGAGCCTTCGGCACCTAGCTTCGGTATCCTAGCTACCGATCGCTCGATTAGGGCAACCTCACCCCCTGGGACACATGGCAGTACCACAATTGATGTCCGCAGTCCCACATCGAAACTCTAAACAAATTGCACACCTCCCAAGGCTTATAAAAGAGGACAACTATCCCAGCTTGGAGGTAATCAATCAGAACTTACGGCATACTGCCTAGTGATCTGTAGTTCAAACTTATTAACTCCGTACTTACTTAAGCATATGATGTAAAATATTATAGTAAATCATTATAAATAAATTATTATGGTGTGTTTAATCTTTTTTCATTAATTACTACACATTTTATACACTAGTGTTTATTACCTTGTTATATAATCAACTTAAATCAAATAAACCCATCATGCAATGCATTTACTTCAAATTTTTTTTTTTTTTTGGAGATAATTGACTAAATAAACAACCTCCAAAGTTTTAAGAAAAATCTCCAAGTCTTTCTTACACTGTCCGTGTTTTTTATCGATATCAATAATTTCCCGATATTTTCATTGAAATTTCCGTATTTTTGGACTATCGATATTTCCAAAACCATCTACCTTACTCAATACCAAATTGTAAGTTCATTGATATCATAATCAAGCACGCACCAATCATCAAATATACCGATCATTCAACATTCAAAGATGTTACAGTTGAAATCAACCTCCAATTTCAAACGTGGGTGGTCATCAATTACACTCAAAACAAAAAGGCAAATAAAAAAATGCCTTGATGTTGTAAAGGGAAAGGAAAAATAAAGATGCAAGCGCCTATACGAACTACACAATGCCACATTCTACTATTACAAACTTATAATACAAGGGAAAACTCAATAATTACATTTACTGAAAAAAAGATATTTATGGGGCTCCGTTAGTTTCTAAGGGAGCTCTGTCGTCCGGCCCAGCTAGCATGATCTGCCATATTATGTATTTCTTATCAGCAATCTCTTCATATAGCAAAACAAGGAACCAAGAAAGAGCAAGGAGAAGCAGGAATTTTAAAACTAACAATGAATAGTATAAGTGAACGATAAAATTATACATACATTACAATCGAAAGCAAATCTCCGGGCAAGCATGATGGCCGCATTCCTCTCTCGTTCTGACTCAAATGCCAATACAAAGGAAAGTCCTTGTTTTGCTTGCCAAAACAATGCCTGAGTTGCAGCATTCCCACCTCCTCTAACTCCACATAGCTATAGGACACCAACAAACAACATCATAGACATGGTTTAAAATCACTGAAACAAAAATAAAGGATAACAACTAACATTATAATACAAAAATCATTGCCCATTGGGAAGCTGTTTCTATTTTGGTTTCAATTGCATTGACAACTAAATAATTGCCATCAGAAGTACATTGCACTTTATGCATCTCAGATGTGGTGCATTTAGAATGAAATGCAACAGAAAACCTACGGGAAGAAAGATACTTAGACAGGATAATGCCACATCATTTTGGTCACCAAAATTCACTGTTTTACTGTTTCTTTAACAATTAATTATTTTCTATATATGAACAGGCTTTTGCCTCAAGTAATTAGCAGGATGATCAGGCAATTGGATAGATCCACATTCGTATATTACTAACACGTACATAAACTAATAAAATTATCTAATACCTGCATCGAAGTAGAAAAGTATTCTTTAGCAATTGTTGTTTTTCCCTTGCAAAGTTTAATCCTCATCTTTCCAACATGAAATACATGAATAGATTCTGAGGGATGATTGACCCCATTCATTTGGGTAATAACTACCTGGAAAGTAATAAAAAAACGTCAAACAGGCAATGGGTGATTTAAGGCTGGAAAATAACTTTTGTTTTTCAGCAGTACTATAAGAATAAATGAGATAACTGAAATATCATTACAGAAATCAAGGAAGAGGGGTAAAACCCAAGCTCGATGGACAGCCACGAGGACGCCAGACTTTCT